TTTTTAATGTTTTTAAAGATTTTTTTTTTTAGAAATTTTATTGGCAAACAGTGTTATTTTTCCAGGCCCCATCAGCTCCAAGTCAAGTAGTTGTTTCAATCTAGTTGTGGAGGGTGCAGCTCTTTGGCCTATGTGGGAATCGAACCGGTAACCTTGGTGTTATGAGCCAGCACTCTAACCACCTGAGCTAACCAGCCACCCTCTATAATTATTTCAAAATAAAGTCTAACAATGTATATTGGTGCAAACACACACCCAAAATATGTGTACAAAATATATACACAACAATGTTTGTCTAAACCAGAGCTGTCCAACAGAACTTTCTCCAATGATGGAAATGTTCCTTTAATATATATGCACCATCCAATATAATCGGGTGGCTACTTAGCACTTGAAATGAGGCCAGTGCAGCTGAAGAACTGAAATTTTGTATTTCATTTTATTTTAATTAATTTAAATTTAAGTAGCCACATGTGGCTACCATGTTGGATAGCATAAGTGCAGGCATCGGACATTTATGGAATTTTATATATATATATCATATATATATATATATATATATATATATATATATATATATATATTGGTAACTATGAGTGCCTCTGGAGAAAGTGTTTANAGCCGTCCAGAAGCCGGCAACTGATCTGCCTTGCCCGGGAAGAGCGCAATGATGGTGCCAAACTTGGTCCAGTGAAGCAACGTCCTCCACAACTAGACTGAAGAACAAAACAACAGCAGCTTGTCTGTTCCCTTTCCCCCAATTCCCAAGCACTGTTCCCATCCCCCCCAGTTCCCCAATTAAAAAAAATCTTAAAAAGAAATTTGTTTTTATTTCTTGTTTAAGAAAACCTACTTTACCTCCAAAGTCATAAAGATAGTAGTCTATATTTTTTTTCTAAAAGAGCACTATGTTATATTATATAGTTATATTAGAAAGTACCTAGCAATTATGTAATGCCAGAGAGTACTTCAAAGGTTAAATGGATTTTTAGAGGCTGACCATGACATTCAATACCTATTTATAGCATGGTTCCCCCTGGAAAAGTACTAATTTGTAATTCAACATCTAATGTATCACTCTAAATCAAAAGTGCCTTGACTGTAAATCTAGATATTGCTCATTTTGCCAGAATGAAAGACAACTAACATTAACTTAAATAAATCAGTCTTTACTTATGTGTAGTAATGACTGCCGAGGGTAAGGCTAAAAAGGAAGGACATGCAGCTTTCAAGAATCTTTAAATAAAAAGTCGAAACCAAAGATTCAGGAAGTGTTATCGGCAAACCACGAGCTTCCAAACAGGAATTCAGAAAATTCAAGCTCCTGTAGTTGCTTCAAAAAATCCAGCTTTGCACTTCTGAGCTCTGACTCTTCCACACAACTGAACTTCTTAGAGGAACTGCAACCTGTGTTTTCTGCTCTAGAGCTGCATCAGCATCTTTGTTTCCAGGACCTAAAATGGAAAAAAGAAACGCCCATCAGAACCAGAAATGGGATGCATATTCTCTGAAGGATGGGTTTGAGAGTGTTCGAGTAGTTCAGCATAGATTCTAAATAAAGCTTCTTCTGTGCATTTGAATATGCAGTTTCCACTAGAGACATGCCATTAATGTTACTCCAAGTACCAGTATCTTGAAGTTCCCATTCCCACTATTATAGGTGGCAACTGTTTGTCTAGAAGGAAAACAATTATTTTCCCTTTCCTCTTGTTCTCTCAATGGTTTCTATTTTCAGAAGTTTAAACACCCGTGACTAACTATCTCCAAATATTTTGAGCAACATGGAAAACACCTAGCACAATATTTATGGAGTTAAACACTCTGTTTGGATATATCTTGGTAAACAAACAATAGCAGAAAGGGCACCTGTTCATTACATTTCCGTTTCTACATTAGGAGGAAGTGGGTACATTGCACATTGCACATAAATGAGCATTTCTTCTCTCTCTGCCTTTCTCAAACTTGTTAAGCACTAGATTTTCTGAATTGTATCTCATTTTCTTGGTTTCATCCATCTATATTGTAGTAAGAGTGTTGTATTTTTCTAGAGTTAAACCTAATTTCATTTGATTTCCTACCATGAGTGGCCTGGAGAATCTTTTTCAAAGTCACCTCTTGCTGTGCTGAACCACTGCCACCCCCTGATAACCATATTTATCATTTTCCACTATTCTGTTTCCTCAGGTCAAGGAACCCAATGCCGAAATTAAGGTCACATAGGAACCTGAGGTCAAATTGCTTCATGATTTTCTAAATTACTTGAGTAATACATTTAATCACAAAAATATAGGGAACAAAACAAAAAATAAAATAAAATGAATGACCTTACTACCCATAGATAAGCACGATTAACATTTTTATAGACTATGATCACATTTTGTATGTTTATAAATAACTAGAAAACATTTTGTTTCATATGTATTTCTAAATACACCTATTTTAAGAGATTGTAAACTTCTGGTGCTGGCCCAGATGGAGTGAGGCTCCTAAAAACTCTCAGAAATTACAACTAAAACTCTGGAGAGACATGGAAAAGCAAATGATTGACTTTTTGAAAGTGACTCTGAAAAGTAGAGAATAGCCAGCAGATTGAGATTGAAGTTAAAACTTGAGTAACAAGCTGTAACAAAGGTGATTTTGGTGGAGTAAACTATTGATATACGCAACAACACAGATGAGTATCAAAAGCATTGTGCCGAGTGAAAATAAGAAGCCAATGTCAAAAGGTCATATACCATATGGTTCCATTTATACAATTCTCGAAATCACAAGATTGTAGAGATGGAAAACAGATGAGTGATTTTCAGGTTTTAGGGATGGTGGAAGCAAGGGAGGTAACTGGGACTATTAAAAAGTAGAATAAGAGGGCTGACTGAGTGGCGCATCAATTAAGAGTTGGCTTGGGACGCCAGCTCTGAGCAGCAGGGCCCTGGTTCAGATTTCACATGAGGGCCAGTGATGCTGAGCCCTCCACAGCTAAGATAGTGAACAACAGCTCGGTCTGGAGCTGGGCTGCAGGTGAGTCGTGGTTGACGGCGTAGGCTGCAGTGGAGCTGCAGTGGAGCTGCAGTGGGCTGCTGTAAGCTACTGTGAGTGGCCGGCAGCCAGTGTGAGGGGCTGGGAGCTGCCGTGAGCGGCCGTCCAATGGCCGGCGAGTGACTGCCTCACCCGGGAAGAGCGCAATGATAATACCAACATAGGCCAGTGAAGCGACGTCCTCCACAACTAGACTGAAGAACAAAAGGACAGCAACTTGTCTGTTCCCCTNCTCCAGCCGCGGCCCCCACCTCGGCTCCAGGCCAGCGAGCCTTGGGAAGCGCCACACAGTAGACTTGGGGGCTCTGGACGCAGGATTTGTCTGCTGCCCTGAAGGTGAGCGGACTCTCTGAGTTTTCCTTTGCAGGTCTAGTTCTTATCTTTTGTGGGGTGTAAACTGGGCTTCCAGAGTTACAGCATCTCATTCCAGCCCTGCCCTGCCCTGCCCTGCAGTTTTTTTCAAATCTGGGTATTTTGAGGGGTTTTTTTTGGGGGGGGGGGCTCGGTGCTGTAGATGGACACCGTTGTCCCATTGTCCTCCAGTCCTTGGGCTGGCAGGATCCCCTTGCTGCTTCCGGTTGACTCCTCCCAAATCCCAGTTGACCTCCCATGCGTCCTGTCTATAACTCATCATAAATCCCTGTTCTTGTTCCTCTACCGAAATCTCATGTATTTTTGTGGAAATAAGCTGACTATGAATGAGTGGTGGAGATGGGAAGTCAGGCCTGTTTAAAGTTTCTTGTGGTCCACCTGATGGGGTATGGGGAGTAGCAGAACTGGATGGCTAGAATAATTGACACCTGAATAGTCAAAGTGTCCTTTCAGACCAAATGATGCAGCCCAGGATAAAATGGGCCTGGGTGAGGGACAGACAGGGAGGATCACCCTTGCTTTTTGGAACTGCTGCTGGTCACCTACCTCTCTCACCTGGAGTGGGCTGGAGAAGCCCTAGTGTCCACCAGGCGTTTATGCTCTATACATTTAGTCTTTTCTAATGTAGCGATTTAAAAACTTTTTTTTTGCTTTTAATAAGTCTTAGGGAAACCACACATCTCACCCAGAAAGTATACGTTTGTACTCCCAAAGCAATCTACAGATTTAATGGAACCCCTATCAAAATTCGAATGGCATTTTTCACATAAATCAAAAAATAAATCCTAAAATTTGTAAGGAACCACAAGAGACTGTGAATAGCCACAGCCATCCAGAGAAAGAAGAACAAAGCTTGACACATTAGGGCTGGCAGAGTGGCGGGTTGGTTAAGAGTTGGCTTGGGATGCCAGCTCTGAGCAGCAGAGCACCAGTTCCAATCCCACATGAGGGCCAGTGATGCTGCGCCCTCTACAGCTAAGATGGTGAACAACAGCTTGACCTGGAGCTGGGCTGCCATGAGTCACCGGCGACTGTAGGCTTCAGTGGGGCTGCCAGGCATGATCTCCCAAGAGCCGCCGTGAGTGGCTGTCCAGTGGCTGGACAGGTCTGCCTCAGCCAGGAAGAGCGCAATGATAATACCAACATGGGCCAGTGAAGCGACATCCTCCACAACTAGACTGAAGAACAAAAGGACAGCAACTTGTCTGTTCCNAGCATAAGTGCAGGCATCGGACATTTATGGAATTTTTTTTATATATATCATATATATATATATATATATATATATATATATATATATATATATATGCTGGTAACTATGAGTGCCTCTGGAGAAAGTGTTTAGGGTCTGGGGTGCAATGGAGCCTTTACATTTTATTTATATCCTTGGAATTGTGTACCGTGTACTTCCTTTTTCTAGTTCATAAAAAGACACGGTAATACCCACAGTGAAGGCCCCCACGTATGATGGAGAACAAGGACTCCTTTTGGGACCCGTGTACATAGCCTAACATGGGTGCCCCTGGCTTCACCCCCACCTCAAAGCATCAGGCCTCAGAGGAGGTAAAGCTCAACATTGATGTCCTCCCCAGGGCGGCTCCTCTGGGAAGGGGACAACGTTGAACCACAGCTCTGATGTAGATTTGATCCTGTTCCTGAGCTGCTTCTCCAGCTTCCTAGACCAGACACTGCTCCGTGGGTCCATCATAAACATCATCGAGGAGAAGCTGGAATACTGTAGCAGGAGCCTGGCCTACAACATCACCTTGCCCCAGCACAGAGAGAGAAGCTGGTCTGCCCGCTCCCTGTCCTTCCTGGTCCAGGCCAAGAAGAGCAGTGATGTCATTAAAGTGGACGTGCTCCCAGCTTTCGATGCTCTGGGTAAAGACAGCAATGGCTTGGGTCCATAGAGCCTAGTCCGGGGTCCTTCACCAACCTGGCCTCCAGGGGGAGGTTTGGGAAAGTGGAAACCAATGGGGTGAGCGTGGAGTTTGCTCTTTTTCAGGGAGATGGGACTGGAGCTATACTTTGAAACTGAAGTCTTCCCATAAATGCAGGTGTTGCCATATTCCATTCTTGTGGGGAAAGGGGACTTCTCCCAGATAATGGATTCCTATCCAACCCAACAGAGATTCTTCTCTGATCCTCTGGGAAACACCCAGGCAAGCAAGCACTTCAAGGTCTTTGGAGTCAGGGCTGATTAGAATCATGTTAAAAACGGATCTCTTAATGTCTTCAAATTTTGGCTCCAAGACTTACAAATTGTGTGGCCTTGGCCAAGCTATTTTTTTCTTTTTGCCAAGCTATTTAAAACCTCCAGGACTCAATGTACCAACCTGTTAAATGGGGTAAAAATATCCAGTTAAACCATAGGAAATAGACAATATTTGACCATGTTTGACCCACAAAAAAATGGCATCACTATGGTTCCACTTAATTTTACTGCTTCGTGGAGCTTTTCTGAGGATACCATGAGCTTAGTCCCAGGGCCTGACATATGGTTAAGTCTTTAGTCAACGTCAGTTATTTAAAATTTATGTGATTTTTGGGTGGGCTACCAAAACCTCTAGACGCCCCCTTACTTAGTTGTAAAACGGGAAAAATAATGCTGTAGTGAGGAATGCATGTGATAATGTCTGTATGCTCTTTGTGCTGTAGTTCTTTTCCCATCTTCCTCACCTCGAAAGGTAGATTTTCTTGACCAGGTACTTTTATCTCCTAGGAAATTTTTCCCTGGACTCTAAACCATGCCCGGAAATCTATGAAAACTTAATAACCAGTGGCGGCCGCCCTGGGGAGTTCTCACCAAGCTTCACGGAGTTGCAGAGGGACTTTGTGAAAAGGCGCCCTATTAAGCTCAAGAACCTCTTGCGGCTGGTGAAGCACTGGTACCTGCAGGTGCGGGGCTGGGGGGTGTAGGGGCAAGAGGGATGGCTGGTGCATCCTGGCATTTTTATAAAGGGGAAAGAAATTAAAACACCCTAACTATCTCAGAATAGGGAGCAGGTTAAATAGCGTTGGTGAAATAGTATGATTGGACACTATTTGTAAAGCACAGAACATTGGACAAAGTTTTGTATTATTACTGTGGCTGTTGCTTACTTCTTGTTGCTATGTTCTGTTCTCTTCCGAAGTGTTGTGTCCTGGCAATAGCCTCCTGTTTCCAATGGCACGTTCTTCCAGGGCAATTAAATGGTTTCTGATGTGCACAGACATCATTTTCAGCAAGCTTCAGACGTCAGGCATTTCAGATAACAGCAACAACAATAATCAGAAAGCTGTCATTTACTGAGCATTAATTATGTTCCGTGATCTATACTAAGTGCTCTGCAAGTTTTTTCTCATCTGGTCTTTTCAAGCTCTGTCATATATTATTCATCAGCCCCATTTTGGAGATAAGAAAACTGAGGTTCAAAAGCTAACGTGGGGCTGAGATTTGAACCCCAAAGTATCTGACTCTAGAACCTGGGCTCTTAATCTACAACCCTAAATATTTTTCATAATATTAACACTTTTTTCTGATTATCTGAGTACTACATTGGACTCATTATAAAAAAATTCAAGTAATGCAAAAAAAAAAAGAAGATAAAATTCACATGAAATCCCTGAAAAAATACCAACTACGTTTTTGGTGACTATTTTTTCATACTTATCTTTATATCTGTAATCACAAAGCACAGAGCTTACAGAAGTGGAATCAAATCATGCAAACTTTTTATATTCCACCCCTTAAAAACATACATTTTCTTACTTTAGACTTGAACTTTTGGGAGTACTTCTTAATGTATTTTGCATACTTTTCAATTGGTTTTTTTGGTCTTATTCTCATCAGTTGTAAGACCTCTTTGCAAATTGTAGATGTTTACCATTATTTGTTATGTGTTGCAAATATTTTTACAAATGTATCACTCATTTATTTACCTTAATTATAGTATCTTTGCCAACATAATTATTTCTAATTTTTAAAATACATAAATGTCTGACTTTTTTCTATGTTTTGGTTGCTTATCTTACCCACAGTATATATGTAATCTCTTAATTTTTCTTCTAATATGTTTACTATATACTTTAACTTTGGTTATAATTCATTTTGACATTCAGTGTGATAGTCTTTATTTTCTCCCAAATGGCTAACAAGTTGCGCCAGCATCATTTACTGGATTATGCATCTTAAGAAACTGAACTGAAACACCACCCTAATAATAAGAATGACTAAATTCTCACATCTACTGGGAGCTAATTCTGGGCTATCAGTTCTATTACCCTTGACTATTGTTTATTCTAACACCAAAAGCATACTGTTTTTGTTACAACTGCTTTATATGACATACCTGAGAAAACAAACACCAACTTCCCCATTTTTATTTTTCTTGGATTTCCTAGGAATTTATTCCTCTATTAAGATCATTTTATCCCACTAAAAACATCACTGGGATTCTAAAATTGCAACACATTTCTAAATTAATTTTTGAAGAACTAAAAATTTCATGTTATTACTCCTTCTCCTTCATGTTTCATTTGTTCTGATCTTGTTTTATGTTTTCAATGTGTCTGTGTGTTTTAGTTTTCTTCAGTTATATCTTATATTCGCTATATTATGTTGCCTCCCCCATTTCAACTGAATAATGAAGATCGGTGAGGCCCAGGACATATCCACAAGAGGCCCCAACTTCCTCTTTTATTGAAATTTTGATGGCCCTGGGACATACTTCATTTAGACCCCAAGCTGCTGGGCTCATGTCAAATTTTATGTATATGCTACATAATCCAGATGTAAAATAAAGTTGATGAAGTATTACTAGGTCCTAGAAACAGTATGTCATGGAAATTCCCAATTCCCAGGGTAACAATCTCAAATTCTCTCCGTCTCCCCCTGTCCTCCTCGACCCTCCCCCTCTCGCCCTCTCCAGTACTTGAAACATAAATATCAAAAGGTAGCATTGCCCTCCAAATATGCGCTGGAGCTACTGACCATCTACACCTGGGAAATGGGTACAGATGAAAGTGAGAACTTCAACCTGGATGAAGGGTTTGTAGCTGTGATGGAACTCCTCAGAGATTATGACAGGATCTGTATATATTGGACCAAGTACTATGATTTCCGAAATGAGATTGTCAGAAACTATATCAAACAACAATTGAGGGGACCCAGGTGAGTGTGTTGGTTGCATTTGTTTCGGCTACAAGGAATAGAAAACCCAACTCAAACAGTTTTTAAATTGAAGGGATGTATCGGCTTTTGTAACTGAGAAGTCCAAAAATAAATGACACTTCAGATATGGCGTGATCCAGATATTTACTATGTCATCAGGGTCCCATCTGTGAATTACTCACTTCTGCCCTTCCCGGGGTTTTACCTTTGAATTCAGGCTAATTTCTTCATAGCTGCATCAGTTTCAGTCTTCTTATCTGGACTCAGACCTTGCAGTAGAAGAGAGAGCACCTTTGCTCTAGCATTGCAAGCAGAATCCCTGAGATTCATTCTGATTGGGCCAGCTTAGTTTACACCTCCGATCCTGAACCAAGAGCTTCAGCTTGCAGGGAGGCCTCCCTACACAGAGGCATGCACAATCCCACACACTTGAGTGACAGAGGACAGGGGACTGAGTGTAATGGAAAATCACCCCCCTCTCTCTCCCAGGCCCATTATCCTGGACCCAGCTGATCCCACCAACAACCTGGGAATGGGAAAGTGTTGGGACCTGGTGGCCAAAGAAGCTGCTTACTGCCTGGGGCAGGCCTGCTGCAGCACTGAAGATTCCTGCGATGACTGGCACGTACAGGTACCACTCCCACCCTCACTCCACTGTCATGACTTAGTGATGACTTCACCTCAACCCCCCATGAATCTCCCCCAACCCCTGCCACAGCACCCATAAATCCCCAAGACAGGCAATACCTCCCATGGTGATGTTTCCAGTCAATCTGGTATACATTTCTTCCCCTTATACTGTAAGTGTCTGGGCCTCAGTTCTTTCATCTGTAAAGTGGGCAGGCAATTTCTGCCCTGCTCTGTAGCTATTTGAGGGATATAGTCAAAGAAGTTATTCCATACATATATCATGTGGGCTAATGTCTCTGCTATTATGGGTTGTCAAAAGCTCAACTTTTTTGCTATTAAAACAAGAGGTGTAATAGATGTATCCAAAAACCCTAAGTGAGAGGCATAGGAGTCCAGTGCAGACAGCAACCCCAGCTGTGTGGCCCCCTGTGCATGGCTGTTCCCACACGGATCACAGTAGTTCTGGGTCTGAACCTGCATGGGAGGGAATCCAGGCTTCAAAGACCAGAACTCTGCCATGCGCTCAATGGAGAGATCTATTTTCACCAACCAGCTAGTCCCAGAGAAATCTTATTGCCAGTCCTACATTTCATATCCTGTAGGGAAATTCTGAGCCTGGCCTCAAAGGCAAACCTGCAGCCACTGAAGCAAAGCAGATAACAAACGCATCAGAGCGACCTGCCACCCAGCCATGTTCCATTGGCTGGGAGGCCCAGCAGACCAGGGAGCTTCTGGGAGAAGTCTCATGGAACAGTCGTCCAACTCTTGCTAGGAACCCAGGAATCCCATAATTATTATTATTGTGTGTGTGTATGTGAAAGAGAGAGAGACAGACAGAGAGAGAGAGAGAGAGAGAGAGAGAGAGGAAAACACACTTTCATTGAAAAAAAAAAAAGCAAAGCAAACTGCTTAAAAGAGCGCACAATTAAAGTAAGTCTGCCTCCCATCTTGATCCCCAGTCTCTCAGTACTGCCCCCTCCCCGAAATGCACTTACGAATTTCTTGCATCTCCTTCCATGGATATGCCACACACACACAAGCACATGCCTGTGTCTAACTGCACATCCTATTTGTGTGTGTGTGTGTTTACTTTTATTTACTTAAATTATTAAGTAATTCAGTTGCCCTGTTAAATTATCTGAAAGACAATTCTATATCCACACATCTAGACCTAAAAAGTGTAACCATATAACAAAGTCCAAGCCAGGATGTTTTGGAGCATGAAATGGGATGCTGTTAATTACACAGGATGAAGAACAGACACTAAGACTTCCCTAGATAAACGGGACTATCAAGTCCTCCTGGATCAACAGCTATATCATAATCCAATGAATGACAGTACCTTAACTTATATAACCAGTGCCCTACTGATAGAATTTTAGGATGATTTTAGGCTTTTGCTATTACAATGTATATCCTTGAATATGCATCCCAGTGCCTGACATACATTAAATAATTTAACCTACAATAGCCCTATGATTGCATATGAAGTAGGTTCTAATTTGATCCACATGTGACTGGGGTGGGGGACTCTGGATAGGTCCACATAGAAGGAATGGTTCTTTGGAGAACTGTTGCCAGTTTTCACCCTGCTTGGGGTGAGTCAGAGGATGAAGGATGACCCAGTGGCCCTGTTAAGCCTAGGATGACCAAATATTTTGCTTTGCCTGGGACAATCCTGCTTTGTGCCTGTTAGCTGAGATAATTAATGATAGCACCTCCTTTTATTAAAAGTATCTTGGTAGGCAATAAATTATATCATCAGTAGCCAGAAGGGGGAGGATTTGGAGACAACAGACAGTCATGATCACCAGAAACCCTTATCTGCTCCTCCCTTCCAGCCAGCAAGGGATGTCCAGGTGACGGTGAAGCAGGCAGGAAATGGGGTCTGCAAACTCTCAGTGGACCCCTACAGTCCCATCTGGAAAATGAAACCGGAGATCAAGAGGACTTTTGGTCTCACCGGGAATCAGCGTCTCTCCTTCCAGGAGCCGGGAGGGAAGCGGCAACTACTCAGCAGCCAGCGGACCCTGGCAGATTATGGGATCTTCTCTAAGGTGAATGTCCGGATGCTGGAGACCTTCCCTGGTGAGATCCAGGTCTTTGTGGAGAACTCCAGTGGCCATAGCAAGCCTTATGCCATCTACCCTGATGACTCTGTCAGAGAGTTGAAAGAAAAGATTGAGGAGGCTGGAGGACCTTTCGTGGAAGATCAGATACTAAAGTTTCAGGGTCGGAAACTGAGGAATCATTGCAGCCTCTCAGACCTACATATTGAGGACTGTGACACCATCATGCTCATTAGAAAATGAGTGCCCACGAGTGCCCATGGTCAGGCTGCTCGTGAAGTAGACGTCCATGGCGGGGTCTCCGCATCCCACTCCTTTCTACCCAGACTACTGTCCTCATCTGAAGCATAAATGTGAATGTACCCCTCACCTGTTTCAAATCCTCCAAAGACTCTTATTACCCACAGAATAAAGTTCCAGTTCCTTTGCTTGGCATTTAGGGTCCTTGATAATTTAGCCCTTGCTTACCCCCTTAATCTTTCCTCAGCACTCTCAGAGCACACTGGATGTGCCCAAACACATGTAATCCCAGAACACTGAATGCCGAGTCATAACTCCATGACTTTGAGTCAGTTTTCCTTTCCCCCATGTTTTCATCTTCCGACACTCAAACCTCTGCGTTTCTCAAAGTATGGACTCCAGACCAGCAGAATTAGCATCAGTTGGGAATTTCTTAGAAATCAAAATTCTCAGCAACTATTGCAGACTTACCTGTGTCTGGTTCTCTGGTGGTGGGACTCAGCAATTTGTGTCTTAACAAGCCTTCCCAGTAATTCTGATGCCTGCTCAAGTCTGAGAATCACTGCTATAAGCCCCATACAGCTGACCCAGTCATCTTCTAACCTTACCCTGCCCTACACCCAGGTCAGACTTCTGTGAAAGCACTTGGGACCCTCATTGTGTTCCTTTGTTGAATCATCAATCCCCCTCGTCTAGTGAGATGAGACAAGAACTGAGTCTTACTCCTATGTCCCCATTGTCAGGAATGGTGTCTATCTGGCACAAATGCTTAACATGTGCTTATTGTATAAACAAATAAACTAAAGAATGACTTTGAATTCTTCACTGTTAACTTCATGAGAGTCTCAGTCCAGTGCCATTTTGGAGACCACCTTGTTTGGGATACCCTCCAGGATATGTCTCATTCTTTGAAAATGCCCACACTCATCTCATCTACAGAAGCCCCATGTTTGTGTAGTGGCATACCATACTCATACCCAATACCTTCACCCCCTGTCCAAACCTAGTTGGATCAAAATTGATCAGCTGACCCTAGGTAGCATCCATCCATTGGTTGTACTTAGCCAATCAGATTTTGAATCCTGGGGGGTGCAAGGGTGGGACCAGGTACAGGGAACTCCTGGTACAGTTAAATGAGGATGTCTAAGCAGAAATGCAGTCAGAACTGAGCAGCCCAAGCCAGAGCCCCACTCAAGTCCACATATTAGTAAAGAGAGCCCACCACACAGAGAATGGAGCCACACATAGCAAGAGACTGAATCAAAAGCCCTCATACATCCCCAGGCAGAGAAGCCACAGGATGCCAGAAGGCCTGCCCTTTTTGCTATCAAATTCCCCTTGTATTCTTTCATCAACCTAAATTGAAGAAACAGCCACTCACTGAGTCAATCAGAGAGGGTTGGGTGTCTTTCCTGTCCCAAGAGCCTTGATGAAGATCTGCTTCAGCAGCTCAATAAAAAAATTGTTTTCTACTTCTCAGTAAATTAATAATTTTATGCATCTACAGAGCATTTACACTGAAAGTCTGCATAGACATGATGACATTTGATGCTGATCCTCACAGCTGCTCTGGAAATTAGATGGATGAATTAACACCCCGCCCCCTTTGTACAGATGATCATTCTGAGGCTTAGAAGATAGGGAGTAATGTTCAGAGGGCAGCTTCTGTGGAAGAGGAACCAGAACAACTCAGCAGGGACACCCTGGAGCTCTCACAGATCATCTGGAAAGAAAGCCTTTTCTCACCTTCTCTGGACCTCACCCACAGGCATACTACCTGAGCTCCAGCCTCGTGATTCTACTAGCCTTCTCCAATCCCTTCAATAATATTGTGCACACCAACCACAGCTGATTGGACCACTACACTTTAGGTCTGTGCACTTTGTTATGTGAAAGTTACATCTCAAAAGAATAATGGAGAAAAAAGAAGGATGCTTAGATTTCCAGCCACTTCCGGTGGATGGAGTACCCTGCATTTCTTGCTATTCACACTCATTAGCAATATGATTTGAGATTTGTCTCCCCCATCATAATAATAACTCACATTCATTGAGCACCAGCTATGTATCAAGCAGTGAGCTGAGTGTTTTTCATCCAGTATTTCACTGGAGCATCATAGTAGCCCTAGGATGTAGGTGCTGTTATTATTCCCATTTTACAGGTGGGGAAACTGAGGCACAGATCCTTTCAGTGACTTGCACATCCACACAGCTAATAAGTTAGAATTTGAATCTGGGCACTCTGGCTCCAAAGCTTGCACTTGCAACCACTTTGTTATATTGTAAACTCAGCAAGAATGGAGGACTCTGTCTTATTCACCATTCTCCTCAGTACCTAGCATAGGAGCTGATACATAATAGGTGCTCAGTAAATATGTGTTGAATGAATGGATGACTCTGGTCGGGGTTAAGTAAAGTCCTGTGCAAGGCCTGGGATGACATAATGTATGTGAAACTCTTCACCCAGTACATGGCACACAATAAGTGCTCAATAAATCTAGCTGCTACCTGCTGTTATTAGTTCCTTTCCGTATTCCTTCCAAGTTCTCCTTTCATATCCCAGAACAGAAGTAGGGGTGTTTCTAAAGAGCTGTATCTACTCTGGTCCTGGCAGTTCCCCTACTCTGAGCCCTATGCTGGGGCCAAACTGGCAAAAAAAAAAGAGAATGGATGTTGTAGCAGCAATTGGTATCCACTCACAACACCTCACCACCACCATATCCTTTCTCCGTTTCTTCCACAACTGTAGAATGTTTAGCTAGGCATGTCGCCGAAGTCTGAAGACTTCATTTCCCAGTCTCCCCTAACCAATGGAGTTCATTTGTATTTTATGGACGAATTTGCATGTTCTTCCTCAACAACCTTGATTTGACTATTGGGTCCAGAATATTCAGAAGCTATCTCCTTCCTGCTTTGTATCCAGGAAAATGAGTAGAGAAAATATTGTGATATTAGGCAACATGTTTGTGAAAGTTTCTGTCCTTGGAGTAGACTTAAGACTGGATGCAGCTTTCTTCTATGGTACCCCGGATATCACAAGGAGAAAGCTTCTAAGGTCCACAAGCCTAGCTGGGCTCTGTCTTGCCTAAATACAAGATTAATTATGATGATGATCAGGGAAAGGGCTACCTTTAAACAAGGGTGTGTTCACAGCCCCTTGTTTGTGGACTTCTGGGTGCTTGTGGAAAACTGGTTGATACGAGGTAACTTGAGTTCAGCACTGTTGGGGGAGATCAGGAGAAAACCAATGAATTTGATCCAGTTCCAAGAACAAATTCAGAGAAGGAAACCCTAGGAGGAAGGACCTTGAGTGACTGACCCTTCCCTTTCCTCCCCACCCTGGATTTATTCCCTTTTCTATCCAGCCTAGACCCATGATCAAGTCTACCAGTTGTTCACTAGTCAATGTCTTTATCTTTCGTACCCATTTGTTTGTACAATCCATTCAATCTTGGATCATCAAGGATCCTTGCTGCAAGTAACAGAGATCCAATTCAAATTAGTTTAAGCAAAAATATTAATAAGCAGAATGTAATGGCCCATAAGAGTCCATGGGGAGCCGGCCGAGTGGCACGTTGGTTAAGAGCTGGCTTGGGATGCCAGAGGGCCCCGGTTCGGATCCCACATATGAGGGCCAGTGACACTGCCCTCTGCAGCTAAGATGCTGAACAACAGCTCAACCTGGAGCTGGGCTGCCCTGAGTCACAGGCGACTGCGTAGGCTGCAGCCCCTGCTGCAGTGGGTTGCCATGGGCTACCGTGTGTGGCCAGCAGCCAGTGTGAGCGGCCAGCAGCCGCAGTGAGCGGCCATCCAGAAGCCAGCGACTGATCTGCCTCACCAGGGAAGAGCGCAATGATGGTGCCAACTTGGTCCAGTGAAGCAACGTCCTCCACAACTAGACTGAAGACCAAAAGGAGAGCAACTTGTCTGTTCCCCTTCCCCCAATTCCCCAATAAAAATCTTAAAAAAAAAAAAAGAGTCCACGGGTAGCTAACATACATAAGGCACAGTTGGATCCAGGAATCCAAACAATGCCAGAACTTGTGAAAGTTAATTTATGCCACATAACAAACCACCCCAAAACACCCATTTATTTGCTTGTAGTTCTGGGAATTGTCTGAACAGTTTGCCTGGTCTGAGCTGGCCCACCTGAAGCTGGAGGACAACAACATCCTCACTCATGTGTCTGGCAATTGGCTCAGTATCAGTTGTTCAATTGAATGCCATGCTTGTTCACATGGTTATGGGGTTCTAAAAGTAGCAAGAGAAAGGGCAGGCCCCAATATGCACACAGTTTTTAAGTCTTTGCTTGCATCATGTTAGCTAATGTCTCCTTGGTCAAAACAAGTCACATGCCTGCTTCAGGGGCTGGAGAAATAGGCTCCACCTCTTCATGAAAGGAACTGCAAAGTCAGCATTGCAAGGGGCTGTGCACACAGAGGTGGGAAAAAATGAGAGCACTGCTTTAGGTTTTCTTGGATAATCTCTCTCCACATGGCAGGGAAAATAGCCCTGCTCTCTACTAGGGCATTCTCTGCTGTCTCATAGGAAACATCTGTGAGCACCCATTCAACCATTATGATGTATGAGCAAACATGAAAGTTCGAGGGAGTTACCAGCCCATGCAGCAGCCCTTGACCAATGGAAAGACAGGAACCAATGAATGCATATACCTCTCTTCCACCTCTCAGGTGAGGCACATTTCTACACTGCCCCTCAGAGGATGCCCAGTGGGATCAAATCCCAGCTACCCACAGTAGTGATCGATTTAATAATATTCCTTGGAATGGTTTTCCCTCCTTCTCAATCCCCACACCTATCCTTTGGGATCATTGACCAAAACAGTCACCCTCAAGCAAGCCCTTGCCTAATGTTCTGCCTCTCAGGGGAACTCAACCTAAGGCAACACTCAACTTTACGTATCTTCCTCCTGCCCCAAACTTAGCCCACCCCCTTCCTAACCACTGGCTCTTCTCCCTCCCAATAGAAACATGCTCAACTGGGTGGCATCCTGACAAACCATAAAGCCAATACATTACCAACTCTATGTTCCCTTTTTAAATCCTCAAATGTCGTCCACTGTATTGGCAATCAAATAACTGAAAGCTGTACAACTCTCATAGATTTCATGAAGCTGAATAAAAACCAATGGGTAAGGCCTGAATGTTTATTGTTTGAACAACTTTTATACTGCCTTGACGTTCATTATCTGTCATCATAAACATATGGCAAACATTTAGAGCCTTACGTTATTGTTGACTGAGGTTTGCAACATGGCCACTGCTCTTTAAACTGTCATAATATTTAAGGACCGTGCACTACTACCAAACATCGGCAACGTGGGGACTTTTCAAAATTATGTCATAAAAAAACGTGGTGTTTTCCATTTGGGGCTAGCCAGTTTGAAAGTTTCAGTTGAATTGTGTCATGATGGAGGGTTTTTTTGTTTTGTTTTGTTTTGTTTTTCTGAAATGATGTTTAAAACAATAAACACTCCTTACTCTCCCACCTCCTCTAGCTCACACTCTGTCATTCTTCTCCCTTTCATGTGAAACTTCTTGCAAGGGTTAGCTACATTCCTGGTCTCCATTCCCCTCACTCCCCAACCCACCCTAATCTGGTTTTTGCTCCCAGATCTCCCGTAAAACTGCACCCACCATAGTGACCAGTGGCTTCTTGGGTACTTCTCAGATCTCTATTTCTCAGCTTATCAGAAACATTAGGCGATGAGGACATTTTAAGCTCTCTGGCGTTGTCCGGTCTCTTTGGCCACCCCATCTGGTACTCTGAGTTTCATTTTCTTCACCCATCATTTGACGTTGGTATCAATCATCCTTCCCTAAGGCACCAAGGACCCATCTGTGTGCTGCGGTAAACCAAATTTATCTTCACCTGGAGCTGTTCACGTCCCTTATCACCTGTGGGTACCTCCATGTCACCATTCAAAGATACACTTCTAGATCTCTCACACTCTCATTTCTACTTCCATCTTCCTCTTTTTGTTAATAGTGCCTTCCACCAGTTACTCAAGGACCCAAGCCAGAGAGCTGATAGCCATCCCTGTCTTCTCCCTTTCCCTCACCTCCTTCCTATAGTCACCAAGTCCTATCTCTACCCTTCCTCCAATATAGACCTAGAATCCAGCCCTTTCTCTCCACCTCCACTGCTTCCAGCCAAATTCAGGCTACCATTGCCTCTCACCTGGACCATTGCACAGTGTCCTGACACGTCTCCCTGTATCTACTCTTGCCTCCTGCAATCCATCCTCCCCACAGAAGCAGCCAGACCAATCTTTCCAGAATGCTAACTTCACCACTGGTCACTCCCCTGATTTGCCACTGTCCTCAGGACAAAGCCAGAGCAGATGCATCCAGCATTTAACTTAGTGGATCACTTTGTAAAATGATGTCTCCACTTAGCTTCCAAAACACCACTCCTGATTTTTTTTCCACCTCCCAGGCTACTCCTTCTCATTCTTCTTTGCTGGATTCTTGCAACTCCCCCAGCCTCTTCATGCTGTTAAGTGCTTCGGGGCTCAGTCTTTGGTCCTTTACTCTTCTTGTTCTATACTCACTCCCTTGGTCATCTCATCCAGCCTTGTGGCTTTAAATATTTCTAGGCTGGTGATTCCCAAATTTGTATCTTGAGTCCAGACTTCTTCCCTGAAATCCAGACTCATATACCCAACTCCTTACTCTATGTGACTCTCTAATAGACACCTCAAGCTTCAGTGCTGAAACTGAGCTCCTGATCCCCAGACCTACACTGCATCCCTCACCCGTCTTTCTCATCTCAGTTAAGGAAAATTTCATACTTCCAGTTGTTAAGTCCTAAGGCCTTGAAGTGGTCTTTAACTCTGATCTTTCTCTCACATCATTACTCCATCCATTAGCAAGACCTGTCAGCTTTATAGTCAACATGTATCCGGGAAAATGCTATGTCTAGGACTCACTTACAAATAATACAGGAGAGGAGATGTGGATGGGGGTATAATTGAAACAAGATTGTCTACAGGTTGATAATTGTTGAAGCTGGGTGATGACATATGTTGGTTCTTATTATGCTACCTTATTAATGTTTGAAACTTTCCACAATAAAAAAAATTAAATCATACTGCTTCTCCCTGCCTTCACAGCTACCACCCTGATCCAAGGCGCCATGATCGCTTGCCTGGACTGGTGCAGTAGCTCCTTAACTGAACTCCTGCTTCTCCTCTTGCCTCCACGCCCACCCTCTGCTTTTAATCCGATCTTCCCCGGCAGCTAGTGTGAACCTGTTAAAACGAAAGTCAGACCATGCCCTTCCTCTGCTCAGAACTCCCCAATGGCTCTCCATGTCATTCAGAGTCAAAGTCAAAGTCTCAGTAGTCTTCAAGACCCTACACCATTTGCCCCCCACGCTTTACCGCTCAAACCTCAGCCCCTCCCACTCTCCCCCCTCAATCATTCCATTCCAGTCACACTGCTATTCTTCAAACCCACCAGGCACACTGCGTCATGGGACCTCTGGTTCCTTCTGCCAAGAAGGACCCTCTTCCTTCTGACATACACATGGCTCACTCTTTGCCTCCTTCATGTCTTAGTACAAATGTCTCCTTTTCAGGCTTTCCCTAACCACCTTATTTAAGACTGAACACATAGGGGCCGGCTGAGTGACTCAGTTGATTAAGAGCGTGAGCTCTGAGCAACAGGGTCGTCGGTTAGATTCCCACATGGGCCAGTGAGCTGTGCCCGAGCTGAGCTGCCGCTGGGCTGCCAACAGGTGGCAGGATGGCTCAGCTGGTGAGAGCACGTGCTCCTAACAACAAGGTTACCGGTTTGACTCCTGCATGGGATGGTGGGCTATGCTCACCCACAACTAAGATTGAACATGACACCTTAAGCTGAGTGGCCCCGAGCTGCCAAGTGGCCGGATGGCGACTGGACTTGGAGCTGAGCTAGCTGTGCCCTCCACAACTAAGACTGAAGGACAACAACTTGGCTGTTCCCCTTCCCCAATTCCCCAATACTGTTCCCCTTCCCCAATTCCCCCAATAAAACCTTAAAAAAAAAAAAAAGACTGAACACCTACATACATACACACACACACACTCACACTACCTCTTAACCTCTTTTCCTGCTTTATTTTTCTACTTAGCACTTATCACCATGTTATTTACTATAATTTTATTTATCCCACTGATTGTCTGTCTCCACTATCAGAACGTAAGCCCCCTCCAGGCGGGGAATTTTGCCTGTTCACTGTTGTATCCTCAACTCCTGACTGGCACATTGTAGATGCTCAAAAAATGTTTGTTGAATGAATGAATGAGTGAATGAATGAATGGCACTCAAAGATTCAACTCCTGCCCACCCGCCCAGGCACATCTCTCACTTCTCCCCTTCTTCCCCTCCATGCCGAGGCATATTTAACATCTGAGTCCATGGCACACATCTGGTTGATTCACAGTTCTCAGCCTTTACCCGTGTTGCGCCCTGTTCCTCCTGCTCCTGGCCACATCCCCAGTCTTTTAAGACTCACCTCAAGCAGGTGTCCACTGATGCCACAGGTAACCCAAATAAAGCTCGTCTGCCTGGCTTTCACCAGGTTTCCATGCCCTTTTTTCCACCTGACATACGTCATTCTCAGCGTCCCTTGTCTGCCTCCCCCGCTGCTCTGAGAGCAACTTGGGGCAGGAGCCCTGTCTCCTTTTGTCATTTTAGAAAATGAATATTACTTGCATTTATTGAGCGCTTTCCCTGCTTGATGTTTTCATGTTTAATCTGCATGAAAACCTACGGGGTAGGGTGTTGTTGTTAGACCCATTTTATGGATAAATTATGGGAGGGTCGGAGAGGTTAAGAGTCTGGTAAATGGCCAAGTGGAACTTAAAGTCTGTTCTGTCAGACTCTAGAGTCCCCACTGCTCATCCCAACCGTGAACAAGTCCCTTTTCTTTTTGGACCTCAGTTCCGTGTGGCAGATGGGGTGACTGGACTGATAGATACCATCCAACTCTGACCTACTGGAAGAGTTGCCTCCTCTAAGGCCAAACTCAAGCCAATTTCAGTTTCCAAACGTCATAAAAGGGAAACTGAAAAAATTCAGAATTGAAACCAAGAGCAGAAAGATTGGCTGAAAGCCAAGCCTGTTAAGGTGGCCCCAGATCTTCCAGCCATGGCTCAGTGTCCCTCGGTGCCCCTGCCTCAGTGAGGGGTCTCCAAGAGGGGAGCCCCAGGTCATCTTAGTCACCCCTGGTTTTATCTCCAGTGTGGTTCTTTATCCCACAGGGTGCTGGAGGTCAGCTGAGGAGGAGCCCCCTTAAAGAAGGGAGTGCAAGGCAGGAACTGGGTAGGGGTGTGGCTGTATATCTGTCTGCAGTCTTACTCTCAGGACAGAGATGGCACAGACCCTGGAACTGTATGGCACCCCTGCCTCCAGGCTGGACTCCTTCGTGGTTCAGTCGCTGCAGCCCAGCCGATATTGGAAAGAAGAGGTGCTGGAGGCTGTGAGGACCGTGGAGCAGTTTCTGAGGGAAGAGACCTTTCATGGGGAGCATGGGCTGGACCAGGATGTGCGGGTGCTGAAGGTGGTCAAGGTGAGACTAATGGCCTCCCCATGCCCAGGCCAGGGCCTGGCAAACCCAGCATGAAGTTTCTCATTCCTGATGATGTTGGGGACCTCTTGCCTCGTTATCCCTAGCCTAGGCTGTTCACATCTCAGCACACCCCACCTTAGCTCCCTGCACCCCACCACACTGCTGCCTTGAGCAGAACAATCCAGGAAGGAAGCTAATAATTGTTCACTTTTTGGGAGTGCACTAACCTAACCCTTTAACGTATATTATCTCTAATTTGTGTACCCTGTGAGGTAAGTACTATTCTTTTCCCAGTTTATGGATGAGTAAAATGGAGACTCAGAGACTTAAGATTTGTAATGACCAAATGTAATGCAAGGCCTTAGACTGACTAGATCCTGGTGTGAATAGACCATTCATAAAATACAGTTTAGAAACAATTGAGGAAATTTTAATATGACCTGGATATTAGATAATGATAATATAAGGGAATCACGGTTGATTGTGTGAGGTGTAATAGTGTTCTGGTTACAGGGAGAAGTGTTCTCTTTTGATGAATGCAAATGCTAAAGTATTTAGGAACAAAGTTTCTTGGTGTCTGTAATTTACTTTAGTGTGGTTTAGATAAAGTGAATGCAGCGAGGACTTTAGACTTGTTGACTCTAACTGGCTGGATATATGAAAATTCATTGTCTTCCCTTCGTATGTTTCTATGTTTTAAATTTTTTATAATAAACATTTTGTCATGAAAACTCAGAAAGGTGAAGTGATTTGCCCAAGGTCACACAGCTGGTGGTAGAGCTGGAATTTGAACTAGGGTCTTAGCTGATTCCACAGCCAGGACTTCAGGCTGCCGCAGTGAGGTGTTTTTTTTCCCCCACGCCCTTCCGACAGCTGCCTCATGCCACCTCCTGTCATAGCTAAGCTTAAAATTCAAGAGGGTCAAACCAAGAAGGGCCATGGAGAGGAAACAATCTCAGTCAATCCCTTGTTTACACATCAAGGAGAGTAAGACACAGAGACACTAAGGAAGGGCTATCCCAAGTTCACACCGCAAGCTGGTAACAAAGGCATAACCAGAATTAGGACCCCCTAATGCTGACCCCCAACCCAGTGCTCTCTGGTTCTCTCTCTAGGGGCAGCCACCTCAGGGAAGGATTTACAATCCTCATACCCCCATCTCTTCTTTATACCCATCCCTAGCATCCGGAGCCTGAGGCCATATGATTTAGAAGTGAGATACCACACATTCTGACATCAGATAGACCCAGGTTTGATTCTTGGCTTCTTCCCTTACTGGCTCTCTGACTGCAGATTTACCGTCTTATCTCTCAAATCTTCGGTCTTCTCATGTGTGATTGAGGCATCATCATCATCTCTCCCTCATCAAACAAATGTGAAAGCAGGCTAAATGATTAGCACATAAAAAACAAACAAACAAAAAAACCACCAATGGGGGAGGGGGGTTGTCACTTCGAGGGGTAAAAAGTATAACTATTGCACTGTGTTGTACAGCTGAAATTAATTCTAAAAAATGTGTATTTCATAATAAAAAATAATTTAATAAAAAAAAACACCAAAAGCATCATTATAAATTCTTGCCCGAGCTATCTTCTTGGTCTGAGGTGCCAGCCTGAGTCAGGCAGGCCCTTCCAGACCACCCCCTGACCACCCTGAGAATGAAGCAGATGGAACGGGGCAAATCTGGGGACAACAGGATGCTACAAACAGAATGCGTTTTGACAGCAGGAAATGACATTTACCCAGCCCTCAAATTCTGCTCACAGACCATATCCACTTCAGCCCTTGAAACCACAAAATAATAGAGGTACGCAAAAGAAAAATGGCAAATGAGAAGTAATACTTTATTCAGCCTCTAAACCCTCCCCCAGTCCTGAAAATCTGATGAGTTGGGCTGGTCCACATGAGTGAATGTTTGTCCTCAAATGATTTGGACTTAAATAGGTTCAAGCTGAAACAAGTCATGAAGCCTATTCTAGAATGTTCTTTTCTCACTGTCTGGGTCTTACCACTGGGAAAGGCCTTCCAAGTGATGTGCCCTTCATCCACACACAGGGAGCCGTCCCCAACCCTCTTACATGGGGCAGAAACACTGAGTCTGAAGACAAGTAGACAAATGGAAAAGATAAGGGGAAAAAAAGTTGGCCAGCTTCCCCTCAGAAGCATGGTCTGACTCATAAACTTGGGACATGACGAGGAAAGAGGTGAAAGAACCACACCCTGTGCTCTGACTTCTTAATTGACTATGACTATAACTCCTGGCTAGGAGTCCATGGCAAGTTGATTAAACCCCCACTGCCTCAGTTCTCTCATCTGTGCATTAGGGATAATGATACTAATACCCCCCTCAATCATTGGGTGTGAAGATGAGAAAGTCTTCTGTGAATAAAAGGCTTTCAGGAGTGCCAGACCCAGTGAGTGCTCAACCTGTGACCGCTGAATTAGAATCAACATGCAGTGATTCACCCACCAGGAGAGGTAGCTGACCTGAGATCTGTTCACCCCTAGCAATTCCACCTCCAGACCCAGAATGAGGAAGAAGGAAGGCCAGAGAGTTGTAGGGCTTTTGTATACTTGAGGCAACAGAGGCTGGAGAGCAGGCCCAGAATCTCAGAACCTCCAAAAGATCCCTTCAACATCATCCAGCAACTTCTATTCAGATGAGGAAACTGAATCCCTAGCATCGAAAAGAATGATATGAGCCAACCAGATAAAGACGAAGAAGAAAAACATATTGCTGATTTCCTGTGTGCCAGGCACCATGGCATACATTCTCTCACCTAATCCTCCCAGTAACCTGATGACTCATGTTCTAGTGTTTCTCTCATTTTATACACTTAGGGTTCAGAATGATCACGCAGCTGAAAAACAGGGGCAAGAGTCGAGGTCAAAGCTAAGCTGCCCCATTCCACAGACAAAGGCTCTTATCCACCAGGCAATCCTGCACCCCCTTTTTTTAATATTATGAATTTATTTAGATCCACCCCCCAGAATCCTCAAACAACCATGTGGAGTAGGCATTTGTATTCCCTTGGAAGAGACAGGACTCTGCGGATGAGAAGACAGAGTCTCAGAGCGATGCAGTATAGCACATAAGAAGCTTGGGCCCGGGAGTGAGGTTGCATACAGTGCAACCCTGGGCGAGTGGCTTATCCTCTTTGACATCTCAGTTTTCTTTCCTGTGAAGACAGGGGATTGGCGCTGCCCACCCATCCGTCAGGGTTGTGGTGAGCATTAAATGTGTAAAGACCCTCAGGGATTGCCTGGCACAGGCAGTGGCCTCAGGGTGACAATGCTCTGTGTTCTGCAGGTGGGCTCCTTCGGGAATGGCACAGTGATCAGGAGTAACACAGAGGTGGAGCTGGTAGTGTTCCTGAAGTGTTTCCGGAGCTTCCAGGAGGAGGCCGAGCACCATGGAACTGTTTTGGAACTGATCTGGACAAGTCTGTGCCAATGCCAGGACCTGGTAGACCTCGGGCTCGAGGTTCTGGGAGTGGCTGAGGGAATCCCTGATGCTCTCGTCTTCACGATCCACACAAGGGAGACTGCGGAGCCCATCACTGTCACCATCGTGCCTGCCTACAGGGCCCTGGGTAAGGGGAGAGGAAGCCCACCCGATTCACAACCTGCCCTTCCCGAGAGACTTGTAACTGCCTCCCCTCTCATGTGTGGCCACATGCAGACACCTGCATTCATCTGTTCAAACCATGTCCTGTGCTGAGGGCTGGGCCACCACAGTGCACAGTGCATGGGACTGACCCAATTCTGGCTGTCACATGGCTCAACCTGGGGAACAGATTTCTCAAAGAATCACACAGATAAATATATGCTTGCAAGAGGAGACGAGCCCCACAGAGGGGAAGGATTTAGAAGAGTAACTTCAGGTGCTTCTGTAGCACTCACCACAGGTGTGGGTGGTGGTGGAGGAGGTGGGATGTCATTTTGGGGGCTTTTACAGAAGCAGGCCCTGAGACAAGGGTTTGAGGACAAGCAGTCCCAGGAAAAACTGGTAGGGAATAGGGGAGTGAGACAGAGTATGGAAGGAGCATTACAAATCACCTGGACGGGATACATTTATGATGCAAGAGGCGTGCGGCAGCAGCACACCTTTCAGCGAACTCACTGTTAAAACCCCGCTCAGTCATCTGGAACTGGGTCTCCCCAACAGTGACGGGAGGTTCAAATAAATAGCTGAGGGAGAGAGATTCAAAACAGACATTAAGGGAAAGTGTTGGAGACATCAAGGGAAGATAACAGTCCCTGAGTGGCCTGAGGATTAGAAAAACCCACTTTTGTTTCTCCAGGGCAATCAACCAAGCCAAACCTTTATTCTCTTAGGCTGTGAGGTCTCCGGTTTCCCTGGAGATAAACTCCAGCGAATTAACAGGCTCTTGGGCACAGGTCACTTAGCAACCTGGAGCTTCCTAAATACCCGCCCCCTCCCCCCCCCACACACACACCTTTGCTTCCTCTCATCCCAGGGACTGCCAGCTCTCAGCCACACCCCGAGGTCTATGTGGATCTGATTGAGGCCTGCTGTTACCCTGGACTTTTCTCTCCATCCTTCTGCGAGCTGCAGAGAAACTTCGTGAAACATCGGCCAACCAAGCTGAAAAGCCTCCTGCGGCTGGTAAAACACTGGTACCTGCAGGTGAGATGGCTGCTGGGATGGGGGCAGCAGCGCGAGATGGAAGAAGGAAGGGACGAAAAGGCAGGGGCTAGATTTGTCACTTCAGGAAAATGCCTCAAGTGGTGGGGAGAAAGAGTGCTTAGTCTTTTGAATTGTAAAGAGACACAGTGAAAAAGGAGAAAAAGTAGGAGAGGAAGAAGGGCGGGGGGATGAGCAGGAGGAGGAGAAAAATAAGGACTGTACCATATTTCAGGAAACAAGTGTTTATAATGCTCCAGTTACAGTCTAGTACTGGCTAATGTCAACTTCACTGAGATCTCTGGATGTTCATTTCAGCTGGTGAAGGACTAACAAGTGGAAAGATTTGTTTAATTCCACCCTGCACCCATTCTCCCTCCAAATGATTGAGTTCCTGAATATCATGATCATTAATGAGTGAATATAACCAAAGCAGCTACTTTTTAGAGTTCACGTGTGATGTCTGCATGGGACCTTGTGTATTTCAAAATATCAAAAGGACATCTGAAACTAGTATAATATTGAATGTCAACTGTAACTGAAAAAGGAAAAGAATGTTAAGGGAAATTAGTGTATATCTTTCAGATGAAAGTCAGGATATATATATATTTATTCCTGGAGAGATTTCTCAGAATGAAGTTTATATTCTATGTTACTCACATTGTAGTTTTTAAATAAAAACTTATATAAGGTTTATGTTTTAAAAATCCAGGTGAACAGAGTCATCTAAATTTATAAAAGAAGGACTCAGAAACAACACAAAAATTAAAATATGCTTTCTTATTTTAAAAAATGGTAAAGAGAGTCAGATTTCGGAATGACCCAGTTTAAAAAAAAATAAATGTATTGAAAGATAAAAATCAGAAAATTATCAAGGTTAGTAAGTTTGCAGTTAGTCTGTTTATGGTAGGAAAACAACAATTTTCTTACATGGTTATCACACCAACCAAAGTTGTGGTTTATCGTCAGGCCTTAGCACTGACAAAGCTAAGAATACAATTTTTTGTTGTTGACAGTCACTTACAGGAAATGATCCAAGGTTTTGTGGGCTTGGAGAACTAGAACTCAGCAGGATGTTCCGTTTGCTTTGTTTGTTTGTTTGTTTGTTTGTTTGTTTGTTTGTTTGTGTGTTTCAAGGTGCAAAGTATTTTCTTCCTGTATATGATATGCACGTTTATTTGTAATGTCCACGGGACAATATATCAGCTTTCCTTCTATAGCTCTCCCTTTGGTTCAAGCCTCTGCCCCTAAGACAAGGATTTGACCACATTTGGTTTTATAAAACTGTGCTCTGATTCAGTATTATTAATTTGGTGTTTTCTTTTATTGGACAAGGTTTATCTAGCTAAGTGTTACAAGATGTGTTGCTCGATACATAAGGACGTAAAGAGCTCGTATTGTATGGTGAACAAAACCAGAGTCCCGAGATGCTAAAACCAGAGTCCCGAGATGCTAAAAAGGTTAATAGCTCATTTTTGTCTGGAGTTTTTGTAAAGTCCCTGGGGTCGTCATTGACTTTCATGGCTCAGTAGTTCTCAGTTTGTTGTTCTTATTAGTTCATGTACTGAGGTCAGGGATCAAAGAACTGTGTTGAGAAGCCAGAACTGGTATACTGAATTTAAAATATGCAGATTATAACCTGCTGAATGAGAGGGCACAAGCCACCACCTGGGATTGGCAAGTAAGTGGCTCCTTTGGCATTCGAGCTCCCACTTTGGGGAAGGGAAACCTGCTACTGGGTTGTGTTGATTGAAGGCATAGTTTCAATATAACCACACAAAGGAAGTAGTCACAAGATTTATTACCTACAGACTCCAGAAGCAAGGGGACCCAATGAACCCACGGGAAGGGCTGTCCTCCATCCCAGGTCACGTCTCAGGTCAAGAGCTAACAGGGTAGCAAGCACTTATTACTTATAAGGTGGTTGGAGTGGAGGTCACTAACTTTCCCCAAACTTAACTTATTTTAAAAGATGCCCTAAAAAAAGCAAAGCAGGAACTTATGGTGGGAATCCTAAACTCAAGTTCTATGTAAAAGCCCAGACTCTGGGTGTAAGCAGGGTTACCATACTATAAAATGCTGAGGCAACAACTCAGAGAAACAAAGTTGTTTTCCAAGAGTTTAAAAAAACTGAGAAAAACAAAAGTTATTTTTCTTTTTTTTTTTTTTTGTATTTTTTTTATAAAAGTTATTTTTCTCATCACAGGAACATGTAATTCAGCTTCACTAGGTTTCATCTGTCCAATATTTTCTTTTCTATTTTTTTATTAGTTTCAGATATACAAAACGAGTGATTAGACATTTATATACCTCACAAAATAATAACACCAATAAGTCTACTACCCCTCTGACACTGTACATAGTTAATAGAATATTATTGACTATATTCCCTATGCTGTATTATACGAGTATATAAAAATATGGAACACTTCATAAATTTGCATATCATCCTTGCGCAGGGGTGATGCTGATCTCTGTATTGTTCCATTTTAGTATTTGTGCTGCCGAAGGGAGCATTGGTCTGTCCAATCTTAACTGTGAGGATGTCACTGATCTCAGAGATGTCCGAGGTTGTTAATGCTTACTCATGGCCTGCCAAAAAAGCGTTATTTTTTCTATCTATAATGCTGGCTTTCATAAGCCTTACAGCAGGATCAGGTCACTATCAGGAAGGACTTTATAAGCATGATTTCCACATATGAAGAGCTGTCCTTGATTTAAAATTTTTTTTTATTTACCAACAAACTGATGTTTATTTTTTTATATTTTCAAGTATTTAATTTAGTATAGTTCTGGGAACAAGATGGGAATTCCCCCAGTGTTTTGGTTGAGCTTTTGATGTAAGCTTTTTTGTTTGTTTGGGGGGGATTTTATTTTTTTTGCCATTTTAAATGTACAATTCAGTGGCATTAGTTACATTCACAGTGTTGTGTAAACACCATCACTATCTATTTCCAGAACTTTTTCATCATCCCAAACAGAAACTCTGTACCCATTAAACAATAAGTTCCCATTCTACCCTCTCCCCAGCCCCTGGTAACCATCATTTCTACTTGCTATTTCTATGAATTTACCTATTCTAGCTCCCTCATATAAGTAGAATTATACATTATTTGTATTTTGGGTCTGTCTTATTTCATCCTTGATTCTTAATAGTGGGATTGATTATCATACCTAATTGGATGAGATTTCTGGCATGAATACAAATTTATTTATAAATTTGATTTACTATTATTGAATTACTGGTAAATTGATTTATCTATTTCTATCCTGGTAGAAAGAAAGACAAATTTTTTTTTTTTAAAGATTTTTTTTTTTAATTGGGGAATTGGGGGGATGGGAACAGTGCTGGGGACCTGGGGGAACGGGAACAGACAAGTTGCTGTCTTTTTGTTCTTCAGTCTAGTTGTGGAGGACGTTGCTTCACTGGCCCAAGTTGGCACCATCATTGCGCTCTTCTCTGGCAAGGCAGATCAGTCGCCGGCTTCTGGACAGCCGCTCACTGCGGCTACTGGCCGCTCACACTGGCTGCTGGCCGCTCACGCTGGCTGCTGGCTACATACGGTAGCCCATGGCAACCCACTGCCACAGGGACTGCAGCCCAGCTGTCGCCAGCGACTCACGGCAGCCCAGCTCCAGGTTGAGCTGTTGTTCAGCATCTTAGCTGTGGAGGGCAGTGTCACTGGCCCTCATATGTGGGATCCGAACCGGGGCCCTCTGGCGTCCCAAGCGAGTTCTCAACCATCGCGCCACTCGGCCGGCCCAAGAAAGACAAATTTTTATTGAGCTTATTATGTAAATACTTTATAGTCATAAAAAGGAACTTAATAAAATTACTTTGTGAATATTTAACCATCATCTCAAATAGTTTTGTAAGCAAGGCCAATTTATATATGCTATTATTTTACAGAACAATTATCTTTGTTTTTCTGAGGAATTGTTACTTTATAACCTATAGCAGTAATTTTTATAGAAATTTTTATTCTGAGGTGTCAGTTGGAATAATATATCATTCAAAGAATGTTTACTCTTAGTTTGCACAAGTATAACAACTATATTGAGGATAGGAGATAAATTAAAAAAAAAGAAACGGTTAGTTTCTTACATATCCATCAAAAATAGTATATTAACCTGGGTAATTAATTCTCATTTTGTTGACCTTTGGTTAAGAAACCTGCTTTTATGAAGTCACCTCATCTACCTCCGGAATAAAAGAGTCTGGTGAAATTCTGACTCACCCCTTTGGTGAGAATATGACCCTTTACCCCTGAATTTATTCGCAGTTACACTCCATAAGTTTCCTATAATGAAGTGGGGTGAAAGGGACCTGTCCACAGATAGATTATATTATAATCAGATCATTCTTTCTTCATAAAGACAAAAAGAACTAACAGCATTGATTTTACTACTTTAATTACAGGTCAAAAATAAATACAGCATAAAACCTACCCATCATTGAATTCCTATTCTTTTTTTTTTTTTTAATTGGAAACCACCTGACTTTTTCTTTTTTTAAATTACTTTTATTGGGGAACAGTGTGTTTTTCTAGGATCAATCAGCTCCAAGTCAAGTAGTTGTTTCATTCTAGTTGTGGAGGGCACATCTCAGTGGCCCATGTGGGAATCGAACCGGCAACCTTGGTGTTATGAGCACTGCACTCTAACCAACTGAGCTAACCAGCGGCTCCAGTGAGCTTTTATTCTTATAGGGCTGTTTTCCAGGAGTCACATACACATACACAGACACGTTTTTGAGTGACTTAAATGCATAATGGCATGCAAGATAACAATACTGAGACTCCCAGGAGACATCAGGATTCTCAAGACAAACAGACCAAAAGAGAAAAACACAAAATATAGTTAAACTGCCATTGACCACCACCCAGCAAAAAATAAATTCCTAGCATCCATCTCCCAAAGGAGACCACCAGATGTTCAAACCATAAGACCAGATACACAGAGTGTTGTCACCAGTGGGGACCTAAGTGGCCATATACGAATAAGAACAAGAACCAGAATCAGATTTGGCCAAAACTCAGACTTAATCCAGAATCAGAACTAGAAACAGGGTAGACTTGAGGAGGGGGGAGAGTAAAAGCAATCACCACACGAGATTCGCCCTTGAAGTAGAAAAGAAAGGGCATCAGAGCATAAACAGCCCAGGAAGTGCAGCGCTGTTTATTATTACTGTCTTATGTGCCATTACGCACTGAAATCACTCAAAAATTTGTCTGCTAGGGGCCGGCTGAGTGGCTCAGTTGGTTAAGAGCTTGCTCAAGAGTTTGAGCTCTGAGCAACAGTGGTTCGAGTCCAGCCCGAGCTGAGCAGCCGCTGAGCTGCCAA